TGGTTTTTGTTTTTTTAAAAAGTACTCTAAACTGTATAAATAATGTAAAAATAAATTGAATTTATTAGTCAATCAAACGAACTTCTGCCTATGAGCCCATACACATAATATGTTGATCCTACCATTTTGTCGCACTTTGAGAAAAAATAAAAAAATCAAATGAAAATAAAACTGTATATGGTGACACGACCAGGGCAGCCATCGATTTTACAGGTTATGTGATGGCGTCACCAATATTCAATATTAGAATAATGCACAATACACAATGCAGAGTCAAAATTTTTCTAGTAATAGCACTATAGATCTAATACTGATTCATTTGCAACAATAGTTGCAGCAACACACATGATCCGTAAAATGATGGCCATCCTGGTCATGTCGTTAATGGTCCAGCCGACGCCTTGAAACCAGTTAGGATCAAGTTGAGTCTTAGCTCTAAGCCATGGTCATAGATGTAAAACCATGGTAATCTATAAGTTACCAACAAGATACCGTAAGTTATCATGCTAACTTACCATGCTAACAATCTTGCTGTCATTCAGTCATGGTTCTGGATGAACCTAATTAGTTTCAAGCCGTAGCTTTGCCATATAAAATTGAGCAACTAATGCCCAAACCGTGATGATGAATAAAATTCCTAATAATTTTTAGTAAAAATGCTTGGTGATAAGAATGCATTTTATATTAGATATGATAAAGCCATTAATATTGTAAATAAGTGTCTAAAAAGTATTAAAAAGCCATATATGTAAAATGTAAAAAAAAAAACAAAAAAAAACTAAAAAAAACTCACCTTTAAATAAAGGTTTTCTTCATTTAATTTTGAACCCACTTAAATCGTACATCGTGAGTGGGAATTTTCTGATTTTAGGACTTCAATATCTGTAAAAAATAATGAAAACTAAAAATCCTTCAGCTGGAAATTTGCACAATGAACAACGCAAGGCGATATGCGAACATCACCAAATAAATCCATCACTCACTCAAAAAGAACTTGCTGAGTGGGCCAAAAAAGAATTAACCTTATTAAAGCTCCGGGACAAAGTACAATCTCAGATATTCTGAGAAAAAAAGATGATTTTAGTAAAATGTCTTTAAGTGATCTCTCAATTAAAAAACACTGTGTTATTATGTTTCCTGAATTAGATAATGCATTGGCAAATTGGATTTTACAGTGTGAGCATCGGGGGGTATGCCTAAGTGGTGACATAATTAAGGCTAAGGGTAAGAAATTTGCAGTGTTATTAAATATTCCTGAGAACGACCAACTAGAGTTTTCAAATGGCTGGTTATATTCTTTCCAGAAAAGGCATAATTTCTATAAAATTAGATTGTTTGGTGAAAGTAGTTCTGCTGATATCGTCGCTATTAACTTGAGTCTTCCACATATTATTCGTACTACTGATCGTTATTCTCTGTGTAATATTTACAACATGGATGAGACAGGTTTGTTTTATTCCATGGCTCCAGATCGTACAATCGCGTCCCATCAAATTGAAGGATTAAAAAAAGACAAGGTAAGAATCACAATTGCACTTACAGCCAATGCTGATGGTACATATAAGCTTCCTCTTTTTTTTATTGGATGCGTGAAAAAACCAAGGTGCTTTAAAAAAAAATCCAGAAAAGAGCTTGGATTTTACTATTGTAATAATAAAAAAGCGTGGATGACAGCTATATTTTTTCAGGAATGGGTAAAAAAGTTAGATATGCAAATGAATGAATCAAATCGCCATATTCTTCTAATTCTTGACAATGCCACTTCACATGCTATCGGTACACTTTCCTTGACCAATGTAGAAATACTTTTCCTGCCAAAAAACACAACTTCAAAAATCCAGCCCATGGATGCCAGGATTATCACATTCTTCAAACTTCATTATCACCATCTACAACTTCAACATGCAATAGATCGCGATGAAGCTGGAGAAAATGATATTTATAAAGTTGACCAGTTGCAAGGAATGAGATGGGCGAAAATTGCCTGGAATGAAATAACTGTTGAGATCATTAAAAATTGCTAGGCCCATACAAAAATTATATCACCACGTGATGAATTCGGAATGCCTATCATCTCTGAAAGTGGAAATGGAAGTATGGAAGAAAATTTAGTAGAAGAAAATGTTGATGAAGAAAACTTAAATGAAAAGTTAATTGATGATATTCAGCGCCAAATGGTTGCACTACATGTTTGTACTCCAATGTCTGTCAAAAATTGGCTAAATCTTGAAGGTGAAGAGGATGTGCATCAACAATTTACAGACGAAGACTTTGTCCAAGGTGCAATTGAAGTAGAACAAGGGGAAGAGGAAGAAGTTGTAGAACCATCTCTGTCCCCAAAAGAAAAATTAGCCATCTTGCATGAAGCCCTGAAAATTGTAGTTGAAATGGTTGATGATAATGGAATAACAATGAAATCTTTGCGCAAGATACAAACCCGCATTCGTGAGGAAGTTCAAAGGAAAAAGAATGAAAAGCAGGTCCAATGTAAACTTGATCAATTCTTTTTCAAGGTGCGTGATCATAGCTATTGAGAATAAATTGGCCATTCTTATTTTATTTCCTACATTAACAGTCATGAGAAATGGTTAATTCATAAGATGAAAGCAAAACTAATAAATTTTAAACAGGAGCGACCGTTCAAATTTGTAGATTATTCCGACATAGTTACACAATTGATATATAATTTTTTTTATATGTTATACACTACTTCTTTTAAAAGCTCTAGTAGCTTAACTTTCTATAAAACAAGGGTAAATTTAAATTAATGATTTCGCTTTGCCTTATAACATATTCTTTGTTGATTTACTAAAATTCGAGACATGATTGGTTGGTAATCATGTGTAACTATATCAGAATCATCTATGTATTTTAATGGTCACTCTTGTTACTAATTTAACAAACATATAGGATATGGAATAGACTGCGAAAGGAAGTTTGAAATGTGAAACGCTTGGGATCTTGCTTGTGGTCTTGCTCCACAACTATAAAACCGATCTGTGGCTTTTTTTTTATAAGAAGCCATCTAAATTAAAAATAATTTATACTGTTATTAATAAAATAAATTTTAAAAATTACAAGCATAACATTCGAATAGACTTTAAAGTTTTTTACTTCTTGTATTTGAAGTGTATTATCCAGTTATCAGTATCGGTATTTGATAATCAGTAACCTTCTTTGTAAAGGTGTTGTTTTTGATGCATTAATAAGTAAATTTCTATGATCATATCAAAAATGAAACCTTCTTGCACATTACCGTTACACGAAACTCATGTGATTTCCTATTCTGTAAACCTGATATCTTGTCATTTGGATATCGGTTATCAGAAATAGCAGGTTATCGGGTTTGACTTATGGAACAAGCATGGTGGATCGATTTTTTATCAGATATAACAGGTTATCGGTTTTAACAGGATCGGTTTTGACAGGGTATATTGTATAAAACAATCAGAAAATAATCAGAATCCCAAAGAATTTTATTTAGAAAACAAAATATTTTTACCATATATTAAACTATATTAAATTATATTGTAGTAAAGATAACTAAAATTTTTTTTATATAAAACTATTTTATTACATTAGATTTAAATAGCTTTTTATTCTAACTATTTAATTTAAATAGATACAGATTCTTTAACATTAAAAAGCTAAGTTTATTGTTTAAATTAGTTGGTTTTTGTATTTATTTAAGTTTGTTAACTAGAGATATCATATTATAATATCCAATTAGTTTCATTTTTTTTAAACATATGTTTAATTGAAATTAGAAATATGTTTAAAAAAAATTGGACATTGTAATATAACATCTCTGTTGTAACTGTTAAAATTTTAGTTTATATCTTGTATATAGGGTTTTTAATAAGTTTATTAGTAATAAATATTATATTTATCATATTTAACATATGTCTATTAGGAGATTGGGCCTTATAACTTAATAATAAAGCTGCTAATTTATTACAGACTAGGTTAACAGTTCAAGTTAGGCTGAAGACAAAATTTTAGAATATTAATTTTATAACTTATAAGAAGCCAAATTGAATACAAAGCCTATAAAAAATTTTAAAATAAAATACAAAAATAGATTAGAAATTTTTAGAAAAAGACAGACTTTGCAAAGTGAAGTTATTAAATATAACAGTAATATTACAAAAGATTTGCTACAATAGTATTACACAAGTAAGTCTTCAGAAAATAAAGCAGCACCAACATCTCTGTATCCAACTTATAAAATACTTAATTAGAAAAGTAATATCAAATAACCAAACTAGAATAGTGAGTGATATAGTATATACAAAGAAGATCTGTAGCAAAAAATTAATCTAATCAAAATTAGAACATCTTAAACAGGTATCTCTAAAGTACTTGATAAATATTCTTTAAAGCAGTTATACATCATAACTTAGATAATAAACACTATCTTTATATATAATAAGTTAAGGTTCTAGACCTTTTTGCAACACCAAGCTGGTAGTATATTAATATGTAGTAAGTAGTACATCTACAGAAAAGCCTGCAAAAATTATATAAAATCAAGTCACAAATTAAACCACTATAGAAGTATATCTAAAAAAGATATATAATAAACTGCAAATTAATAATTTAGATCTTAATAAATCTAGCTATATCAACAGAATACTAGAAAGTATATATGACTGTATATACTAAACTAATAATAAGAAAAGCAAGAAACTACTAAAGTTAACTAATTTAGAAGAAGAATGGGTTACTGCAAATAATAGTCAGATGGGCTGCTATTAAATTAAAAAATAAAAAAATAAATATAATAAGATGATCTATAGCCTTTCTGATAGTTTAGTAACAATAATTAAAATATATAGTAAAGGTTACAAAAAATAAATATACAAAAACATATAAATATAACATCATGTTGGATATATGAAGAACCAAGTTAATGACAGCCAGACTTAATGTACAGAACAGACTATGGTATTCTTTATAACTGTAAAAGCTGAGCATATGATAAGTGAATCTACAGAAGAATCTTCTACTTTCTTAAATCCTATTTTATCATCAAACATCAAGGAAGCACTGCAAGAACCAATTCACAAAACATTATATGATCCAGACTCATGCTATAACCAATGGCTAGCACATCTAAATCTATTCCTACTTCCATATCTACAAATATTCAATCTATTTTTAAAACACATCCATCAATATAACTTTATATAATATAATAATTTCAACTATATACTAAGATTAGCAATCAAACTTGATTATAATAAATGCTATATACACCTACTATACATGTCTTAACCCTTACCTGATTACTTCTTTCTATATTTATTAGCTTATACCTATTATTTATCAATACCTATACCTTTTAAATTCTTTCTAATAAACAATAATACATTAGATACTAACTTAATTATAAAGGATAATAAATTAAACAACATTTATTCTCAAGTATTAGAAACTATTTTAGATGGTTATGATAAAACTATCATAGCTAATCAATATTACAATAACATCCAATTTAATACCTGCTATAACAAATTTTTATTTTATAATCACATACTACTACTTTTTTATTCTTAAATTATTATTACTTTTTTATAACATATTTACAGCTTTGGTTAATCACTCAATAACTTATATGGCTATACATTAACTATTTCTATTAAAAATGATCATAGCAAAGCTTATGTCTACCTTCTATTTAAATCAAAACCCTTATCTAATTACTTCAACTTACCAGTTCAAGCCATTTGGTACTATCCAAATATTCAACTAAAATCAAATATATCAACACCAGTCTTTTCTATACTAGCACCTTCAAACTATCAGTTCTTCTCTATATCTCACCTATCCCAAAGACCAGAACCTCCAGAATATCATAGTTCATATTTACCTTCTTCTAATTATTTAATACAAACAAACCCCAAACTACTTGAACTATCAATTTGTATACATAATATACAAGGCTATAATGAAGACCTAAAACAACAAATCTAAAAAGACTTCTGTCTTTCTAACAATCTCAAAATCATTAGTATTACAGAAACTAAAATCACTGCAAATAACCCTATAACCAAATTACAAAAATCTAAACATTTTACTTACCTCTGGTCCTGTACTGATAATCCAAAAGCTGGCACAGCTATTATGATTCATAAGTTTATTAAATGCCATATTCACAAAATCCTACTCTTTTCTGGATATGTCATCACAGTAGACCTTTTCTTCAAATATGACTTCAAGTTTAGAATTATTTTAATTTATTTATCATATGATACCTTTTAACTTAGACTATCAGTACAGAATACTATTATTCAATAGATCCAACAAGCTATCACTCTAAACATACAACCTATCATCTTAGGTAACTTTAATGCATCTGATTATCTTATCCAATCCTTTTTAATTAAATACAAACTACTTTACTTTCTTCAATATAATAATTTATATAACTTAGCTAGTTACATATAATCCTTTACACCTACTTGGCAAAGCAGCAGATATAGTAATAGCATTGACTATATCTGGGCTAACTAACCTCTTCTTTGTTATTTTAACTTCTTAACTGTTAAAGATCCTGATACTAGTACAAAGTGACCACAAAATTCTTATTTTCAATTGGTCTTTTTTCTATGCATACTTAGGCAAACCTCATTATTCAACCAAAACTTGACAAAGAATATTCTTATACAAAAATATGAATAATAAACAATGGAACATTTTTCAGATCAAGTAACATTAAACTTAATTACTAATCAAACACCACTTAATATACAAACCTCAGAATCCTTAGAATCTACATAGCACAAAATTCAAAACAGTATTATTACTGCAGCTTTTTAACATATTCATAACAAAAAATTTACAGTCAAAAATTTCTAACATATTTATTCTACAAAAGCTTCAAAATTACATCATTATTTCAAAAAACTTGACAATATTATTTGACAAACCAAATATACACTTTAATACTCAACACCTATTCTATTTTATTATAACTAACTTATTACCTATATTAATACATCTTGTAATCTCAATATTTTATTACTATCAGCTGGATATAATCTATTAATAAACTGGTTAGGCTTAGCCAAAAATGAATAAAAATCATTATACTATACTTGTAATATAAAAAATATCAAAAAGATTAAACTAAAATATGTAATAAATTACAAACAAATCCCATTTCAATGATCAATAGTATTCTTAACTGACACAAAGATCCTGTCAAATTTGACAACATCAGAACAGACAATGATCTTATTACTGATGCACTTAATATTAAACTTCATATCCAATAACACTTTGATTAATAAACATCATATCGATATATTAACTAACAAATATATGAATCCAACTAGCAAAATAAATACAACCCCAAATCAGACATAAACTCTAAATGGTATAACAACACTTTTTTCAAATTTACTACTGATGAAGTCAATTCAATATTAGCTTAACTTCCAAACAATAAAGCTTGTGGCCCTTTAGGCATTAGGTATAAAATGCTCAAACATGCAAGCTTACTATTTCT